GAAAAAAGCTATATGAATGGTTGAATGTGAAGCTGATGATGTGCCCTGTAAACTTTCACTCAATCCAAAATAAAAACATTTAATTAAAAAAAAAAAAAAAAAAAGTGAGGCATCCAGGACATTGAGTCCCTGGAAATGAGCTGAAGTTGAAGGCCACAGGCACAAGGTTCCTTTGACTCCTGGGGCAGACTCACCTTTGGCCCTGGGGGCCCAGGGAGTCCTGGAGGCCCAGGCTCTCCTCGGCCTCCTCCAATGGCGTTGCCAGCACTGCCTTTCTCGCCCTGGGGGTGGAAAGTGGAATTACCATAGTTGGGTCAGCCTCTGTCTTTGTGCTGTCCTCGCTGAAAGGCAGCATGTCACCCGCCCTCCACCTATGCTGAGCTCCGCAGGGATATTAAGTAGTCTGTGGGCTCCATGAGGGCTGGAGACCAGAGGCCTTCAGAACCCTGGTTGGTCTGGAAGTGGGATTTGAGGAAGGAGTGGAGCTCATGACGGAAGGGGAACAGGTTTAGAGGGGGAGCAAGGGACCCATCAGAGCCTGGGTCTACAGCCATGTTTGCCAAGGTGTGTTCCACGGACTACTCCTTCAGTGGGCTGGAAATAGACTAGCTACAAAAAAGGGGTTTGGCAGCCAAAGGATGTTAGTGCTGGCTAACCAAGCTTTGCAGGCTCCTTCCCTATGGACTGCTCAGAGCCTTTACCAGCTAAGGAGGACCATTGTGCCTCTTAGGCAGCAGATCCCAGCTTGTTTAACCTCAAACATATATACGGCGATTGTTGTGGGTACTAAGTATTGTTGAGTTGGTTCTGACTCATAGCGACCCTGAATAGGGTTTCTGAGGATAATATGTATGTGTATATATAGACACCTGGTGTGGTGCTGTAGGATCAACACTGGACTGAGAACCACAAGGTTGGTGGTTCAAACCCACCAGCGGCTCCTTGGAAACCTTATACAGGGACGTTATGAGTTGGAACTAACGTGTCAGCACTCAAGTCACTGTTGTTATGTGCTGCTGAGTTGGTTCCGACACATAGTAACCCTGTGGAGGATTTCTCGGACTCTTGCTTTCTCTCTCTCTATATATATTTGTGTCACCAGGGCACTCTCTGTCTCTCATCTGTACACAAAT